CTCCCGCCGGGCCTCTGTCCCGCCCGGCGCCTCCACGCCGCGCCCCGCCCCACTCCTCCGGTTCCGGAGTCGGCCGCCCACTTCCCCATCCCGCTGCACCGCGCGCTCCCGGCCACGCCATCGCCCGCTCGGACGAGCGACACCACACACAGCAGTCACAGTGCCGCTTTGAAAACAATTTAGGTCGTGTCACGCTCCCGCCTAAAATCTCTCCAGGGCCTTCTCGCTGCCTCGGGTTAAGATCTGAATGACCTGGTCGCCTTCCCCCCTCCCCCATGCCGCTAACCCCGCCGTCTTCACCCCGCGGCATTCCCGCAGCTCCCTGACGGGCTCTGCCCCTGGAACTCCTCTCCCCCAGACCCCTTTCCCCGTCTTCCATCCCCTTCACTGGCCACCATAGATTTCATTTCCTCTAGGAAGCTGTTTCTGAATTCTGACCGAGCTGGGTAGCTGTCCACACGCTCCTATTACAGTGTCCTTCGGTTCTCAGTGAGACCAGGCTTATGAGGCGTTCCTGCCTTGAAGCTCCCTAATGCCGGCTTCCTTCAACACGTTATTTATTCGTTGGCGGCTTTGTTGACTGTCTCCGCCAGATGTCAGCCCCATTAGAGCAGGGACAGTGGGGAGCGCCCGGCGAGGGACAGAAGCAATGAATTGTGACGTGAGGGTGTCCCCGGGAAGATGCTGTTAATTCCAGGATTAAGATGGTCAGAAATGGATGTGCAGAGATGGAGGAAGGTTCGAGCCAAGCCTTGAAGCGTTTAGTGAGAGGCAGGCCAGTGCCTCTGCTAAGGTGAAAGAGATTGCAGGAGGTGGTGTATCAGGAAATAGCCAGTATTATGGGGCCAGGAGGAGAGCAGGTGCTGGTGCTGGGGCCCGCACAGAAGGTAAGTGACCTGTCTAGGTGACAGGGTTAGTTGTCAGGCCGTGCTCAAACCCATTTTTGAGAGCCATCTTTTTTTTTCTGCCCACCCTAGGGATGCATGCCCCCTTTGCAGACAATAGGTAAACCTTCTCAGATTCGATTGGGTTCCCTGAAGGCAGTGCCCACAACAGTCTGGAAAATTAACCAGTGAGTTTTAGAGAAGGGGAGTGTGTTCCTGTGGCTGGTTGGCACTTGGCTAGTCCTCCGCCCCAAGTGCTCTGGCCTCGTTTTCGTAATTGGTGCACACAGGGTGGATTCACATCACCTCAGTTGCTGTCATCCTCTCTTGCAGAATTACCCTCTTTACATCCGAAGTGTCCCCACAGAGAACGAGCTGAAGTTCCACTACATGGTGCACACATCCCTGGATGTGGTGGATGAGAAGATCTCTGCAATGGGGAAGGCTCTGGTGGACCAGAGGGAGCTCTACCTGGGCCTGCTGTACCCCACAGAGGACTACAAGGTGTATCCTTCACACCCAGCAGGGGCCGGTCAGCGGGCTTCTCCCTCTAGGGTTGGAATCCAGGGATTCTGCCTGTAGTTGTGTGGTATACTGTAGGATCAGATAGCCTTGAAAGGCATTTTGTACCACCACTTGAAAAGAGCAAAAGGTGAGGGCTTTTAGCCCAGGGAGAATTAGGGCAGCTTGAGGCTATTTGAGACCTTACCATTTTAACCTTTAATTAGGATAATGTGGGAAAAGCTAGGCTTGAATTACCTAGAAAATTGTGACAGTTTGCATCTGTCTGTTGTCAAGTTTACAGAGGAGCTGGGGAAGCTCCTAGTTTATGCCTGCAAGGATTTCTTTCTCAGCAGGGCCACCACTGAGCAAGGAATGATGGGTTCACTCCTTTCATTATCAGGCAGAGCCCCACAAGTCACTGTAAAATCTTAACCACTCCCTTGGGGCAAATAGCTTGAAACCCATGGCGTTCAAAGAAACTCCCACAAGCAATGATGCAGCTTGCCCACAGTGATGCTTGCCTGGGAGCCAATGTTCTATGAGATGAAGTGGCCTTTAAAGATGTGGACACTGCAGGCAGGATTTGCCCTTTGTGAAATTTCTAAATTTTCAGTTAACACTCCTAGGCTAAGCATTGATTCATAAAGAGGGCAAGGCCTGGGCAGGGCAGCCCTGGAGTCTGAATCAGGATGGGGTTTAGGTGCCTGCCCTTTGCTTCTCTAGTAAACACCAGAAGCTGCCCAAAGGGAGTGTGCAGTCATAGCCAGTGTGGTCTATGTGGTCCTCCTGGCATTGTAAGACAGGCCCAGCCTGGGGCACTTCCTGTAACGCAAGGTTTGTTATGTTTCTCCAAAGTGGCTTTGGAGAGGGAGTGGGGGGCATGCACAGATGGCCCTCTACTTTCACACTCTGCACTGTGAGGCTCTTGTTTCATGCTGTCTCAGAGTCCCTGTGTTGACAGCATGTTCCCTAACCAGCTGTGCAGATATGGCTACGTGACCAACTCCAAGGTGAAGTTTGTTATGGTGGTGGATTCCTCCAACACGGCACTTCGAGACAACGAGATTCGCAGTGTGAGTGCAGGGTGTCTGTAAGCCATGCCTGAGGCCATTTGTTTCCCTTTTTACACTTTGTTTTAAAATCTTGAGAGGCAAAAAATACGGCAGTAATCTTGTGTACATGTAAATTAAAAACGTTGGTTCTTGTTCCAGATGTTCCGGAAGCTGCACAACTCTTACACAGACGTGATGTGTAACCCCTTCTATAACCCAGGGGACCGCATTCAGTCCAGGTGGGCCTACTACTCTCAGGTTGCTACCTATGTTTGTAGGCCCTGCCTTCCTAAAAGGCAGTGATTTTGAAAGGGAGGGAAGTCTTTTTAAGGGATGGACACTTTTCTAAGGCACCAATTCTGAAGCAGCAGAACCCTGTTTTTTCAAACAAACTCTCACACAAATTTCCAACATATAAAACAGAGGGGAATGGGGGGGCAGAGCTTGCCCATTTGGTTTCCCACGTGCACCCCACAGGTACTGGGGCACCATCACAGAACCCAGTGGGGGCCCAGGCATATGGACAGGAGCCTTCTGGGAAAACATTCTCCTGTTGCTGCGTAATTCTGTCTTTGATATTGAACTTGGATGGTGAGGAAATTGGATTGCAGGTATCTTCAAATAGCCTTCAAATAAAGTCTTTTAGATGTTTTTATTGATCTCAGTGAGCAGAAGGGAGAGGGAGAGAGAGAGTCATCGATCAGCGACCTCCTGCACACCCTCTACTGGGGATCGAGTCCACAACCCAGGCATGTGACCTGAGCAGGAATAGAACAGTGACCTCCTGGTTCATAGATCGATGGTCAGCCACTTAGCCACACTGGCTGGGCCAAATAAACATTCTTTTAATGTCAAAACGCCATGAAGTTGCTTCATATAAAGAAGCGTTCACACACTCCAAACCTACTCCTGGGAATTCCCTACATTTCTAGATACGTTTCCCAAGGGGCTGCTCGTAGCCGGCAGGCGAGAGGACACTACAGTGACCTGAGCCAGGCCCTTTCTGCGGCGCCTTCTCTCAGCTGTGATACTGTTTTTTGGGTCACCATGGGTCCTGGGGGGAGAAGCCAGCGCTGTTATGTAGAACCCTGTGACTCCTGGGCTATTCAGGGCAGTGACAGCCACTGTTCTTGCTGTTCTGCAGCTATGCATGCCCACGCTGCTCTTCCACCCCTGCCTGGAAACCCACTGGGCAGGACCTCGGGAAACCTGAAGGCAAGTGGGAGGCAGGAGACTTAGGTTCTCACTGCCAGGTATGGCAGGACACACGACCTGGTCTCTCATCTAAGTTTACTTACCTGGGTGTTAGAGACTGATGCCCAGAATGCCATGGGATACAGGCAGTGCCACAGAGCCTGTCTGGCAGGGGGGTGGAGGGCCAGGTCTCTTCTCTGAATTGGTATGTTTCTGTTTGCAGGGCCTTTGATAGCATGGTGACATCTATGATGATACAGGTCTGTTGAGTGAGAAGATTGCTGCCTGTTGATTGAAGAGAAGTGTTTTGTACATAACCGTATTGTGTAGATGTGTATTTATTATCATTTACCTCTTCCTTAGTGTCACATATGTGTCACGTGGTGTGGTGCATGTCAATTAAAGATCTTGTAACATCAGATTTGGTGTTTTCCTTCCGTGTCTGCAGAAGTTTTAACTACAGAGTGTTTAATGCAGGACTTTTCAGGGATGGGGGCAGAGGTCAGGGACCAGACAGCAGGGAGCTGTTGTCCGCACAGGCATGAAGGGGCAGTGGGAGCTGGGTGGCAGGAGCCCACAGAGCTTGGAGCCCTGGAGCAGCCAGCGAGGAGGCTTCAGAGGGACTTGTGGGCCAGCCTCTCTGCTCCACGGGCTGCTCTTGCGGCGCCCCCCCGTGGCTGAACAGGTAGGGTGTTGCATAGGGCCTCATTTCTGTAGCTGGATTTAGAGGGGCACAGGGGACAGCCCCGCACACATTCTTCCACAGGGAGAGCTTCTTTTTCTGGTCTTGCATTCAGCCTGATGTCTGGACTTAGCCCAAACTTGGGAGGCAGCCCTTACGAGATCTAGGCCACTTTGTGTAACTGCAGTGTTTCACCTGTCCTGCTTGCTTTTTTAGTATGAAGGAGTCCTCTTCCACCTGTTAGTGCACAGGGTTTCTAGTGGCCTGAGGGCCAGACCGGGTTAGGTGTTGAGTCCCCTGCTGCCCCTGAGGCCCAAGGGCAAGCTCCCTGTGGCAGGAGGCCTTACATTTGAGGAGGAGCTGGTGTAATTGGATGTCTGCATTTTACTTCCCTGGAGGCTTAGTCAGCCAAGTCCAGAGGACAGTGTCAGCCCCTTCTGGGGTCAGGCAGTGGGAGCTGTAGCTGGATTTAGAGGGGGTCCTAATGCCCTTTGCCATTTGCTACTGTGCCCTGTGAAGTAGGAGAGTCGACAAGGACCTGCAGGTCTGAGCCCCACCCACACAGTCTGCTCCAAGTTGTATTCTCACAGAGCTGGTGGCTGGCTTCCTTGAGTCAGTGCCCCAAAACTGTTGTGAGTTCCTCCCTTACACCCTCAGTCACGGGAGAGGGTCTCTGCCCAGGAGGAAGGTGGCTCAGCTCCCTCTGGGGAATGGGGAAGGCTGTGACATTGGTCAGCCTGGGGCTAGAACTGGGAGATGACCTTTTCTCTGCACCCCTTTGGGTTTCCTTTCCTTCTGACAAGCACAGTATTAATTTGTTAAATTACAGAAGCAAAAAAAAAGAAAAAAACAGCTTTAACAGGAGTGTGTGTTTAAAAGAGGTTCCAGTCCCCCCGCTCCTGCCTCACCGCAGGTGGAACTGGAAGACTTAGAGTAGGGCTGAGAAGTACCAAGCAGGCGCTGGTTGCAATGCCAGTGGACCACAGGCCCCTCTCAGGATTTCTTCCCTGCATTCCATGGTTGAGGTTTCAATAGTGACCTCTCCTGCCCGAGTAGTGGCTCTGGTAGGGATTACAAATTGCTGACCCAGTATCCATCCTTCCTTGCTTTCTCACTAACTTCCCTATTACCTTGAGAAAGGTCCTTCCTACCTTTATAGAACACAAGGATAGGTGGTCATGGCATGTAAGTGGATGGTGTTGGGGGGGGACTTCCAGGAAAGATACTTCAAAAGGGGGTTCACCTGGCAGATGGAGTACCCCTCCATCTTTTCCCTTCTTCCTGCCTAAAACTTGAATGTGATGACTGGAGCTCTTGCAACCATCTTGAGATCATGATAAGATTCATCTAAGGATAGGGAGCTAGCAGGAGCCTGTGTCTTTGCTGACATATCAACCCTGGGCTACTGGTATTTAGCAATTTTTATGTGAAAAACAAATAAAAAACCCTTGTTGAAGCCATTGCTCTTTGGGTTTTTCTGTATTTTCAACTGACCAACCCATAAATGGTTTCCACATTAGGGAGTTTTCACACACCTTCTTAGGTAGCATTCCCATTTTAGGCCTTGAGGAAATCAAGTGTTAGAAGTAATCTGCTGGTCTTTGTTCTGCCAGCAGAACTGTTAGATGGCAGTTCCACGTTATCTTTTTACATCTTTATACAAGAGGTGGTCTTGTTGAGGGCCACCTGCCTGCCTGCCCCCTGCCACCCCAGGGCTGAGCCCCTCAGATTCACTCCTAGTCAGCCCTTGGCTGTTATTCCAGGTGATTTCTTAGCGGAAGTTCACTGCCAGCAGTCTTCCTTTGGGCATCAGTGCCTCTCCCTCTCCTTCCTTCTGCCCCAGACCAGACGGGCAAAGGGAGCCGTGTGTCTGGGTTTCCTCCAGGCACAGCCGCCCCACTATTAAGGGCCAACGTTGACCCCAGGTCACAAGGGACATGTGACCTGTTTTCCCTGGTGCTAGAGAATGGGGATGGGGGCCAGGGACAGAGACAGGGACCAACCCACCTGTGGACTATCTGGGTGGCCCCACCTGTGGCTAAAAGCTCAAAGCATCTCTGTTTGAAATTTAAAGGATTGAAAATCAAATAAGCATAACAAGGCTGAGAGGCAGGTGTCTGGGTCAGTCGCAGTGGGAGGAACGTGTGCCCTGGAAGCCACCAGACCTGGGGTGGAGACATAATTAGCGACTGCTTCCCCTGTAGCATGGGGGCCGATGGTGCCACTGTTAGCCCCAACACTGCCCTTTGGCTGTTAGCAGTGAAGTGCGGTAGAGAAGGGTCTCGGCCCCACAGCCACATCCTATCTGTCGCCTGCCTTTATAGAGTGCACCTGAGAAAGTGAACGAGTGTCCAAGAGACAAATAAACGGAGGTCTGTTGTGATGTATTTTTAAAAATCATTCAAATTTAATTATGCTTTACTTTTAAGACACATATTTTTCTTTAAAAGGAGTTAGTCAAAGAGCCCTGAGTATGCCAACCCTGAGCTGACTCAGCTCTGCCCGGGCCTTGCCTGTCCGAAGCTTTGCTCGGTGCCCTCCAAAGCTCCAAAGAGCATTCCCCTCTGAGCCCCACCCGTGTACCCTGCTTCGTGACTTGTGGCTTTAGCTGTGGGGCCGGGGCCACTGTGCATGGCCCTGGTGGGCTGGCCATCTTCCCACCTGAGTGAAGGGAGGCAGAGCTGTTTCTTCGGAACATGGAGGCAGCTCTCCACTGACCCTGAATTTCTCCTCTGGCCTCATGCTCCCCCCCTGCTGTTCCCTGCCAGCCTGCTGTATCACCCCGCAGTACCCCACATCCTTGAGTAAATGGCCCCACACGGAGCACAGCTGTGTATTCCTGACCCAGCCCCACTCTCAAAATCAGGTTCCTCCTGCAGTATGGTGAATACCATAGGGAGACTCTTCCACGGCCCCTGTGCAGAGAGAGAATGGGACGAGAGCATCCACCCAGGGCCTCGCCAGCCCTGGGCAGAGCCCTTTCCACCTGCACACTCACCTGTTCCACCCTCGTGGTATGATGTGGGCCCCGCCCTGGAGGCTCCTGCTGTGGGAGAAGGGTGCCCCCTTGGCACCTGGGTGTCCCTGCAGGGCCCCTGGGACTGTGAAGGTGATCCCTGGTAAGTTGGTCCTTTTGGGCAGCACCTGGAACCAAAGGCTGAGTGGCCCAAGACCTGTGTTCTCACACCTTCCTCCCCAGTGCAGCCTAAATCCCTTCCTCAGGGCAGATCCCAGGACTAAAGTTGTCTCCAGGAAGGCTTCCTGGGTTTCTTTGCTGGAGGCTCACAGGTGGTGTGCACAGGCCCCAGAGCCCACCAGACCCTGGTCGCGGCACCCAGGGCACGGGGCCTCCCAAGGCATCAGACCCTAACCTTGTTTTCAGCCTTCTCAAGATCTCCACTTATTTCCAAACTGTCCAGACATAGCTGTGGTCGCTTGATGTGTCCCTGTTGAGCCAACATCTCCCCCTTCACAGGGTGGAATCCAGGTTGGGAGGGAGCCCCCCCAGTGCCACACCCAAGACAAACCCTTCTCTGCTGCCCAGCGGTTGTGCCAAGAGATGTTGGGAGATTGCAGAAGGGTCAGGCTGGGCAGTGTGTCAACCTCCCTGTGTGTCAGCCTCCTTATGCTGGCATTTCCCTGCACCTCAGGCATTAATGGGTTAAAGTAGAGAAGCTCAGGGCAGAGTCTGCACCCCTAACACCCCTGCCTCCAGGTACCCTGGTGACTCATGGGGTTCACGAACCTTGATGACCCGGCCTCGGAAGATGCTCTCGTCCAGCTCCACAGCAGCCTGGGCTGAGCTCTCAGTAGCAAACTCTATGTAGGCATAGCTGGGGTGAAATGAGGGCTGATGAGGGCCCACCCCCAGGTCACCCCTGCTGGGCAGTAGTACCCTGGGGTGCCCAGCCCCCTCCCCAGCCTCCTTTCCAAGGCCCTGCGCTGACCCTTTGGGGTGTCCAGAGAACTTGTCACGCAGGATGGTGACCCGCTGGACATCCCCACAGATGTTGAAGTAGGCCTCCAGCTCCTCAGCAGTGACCCCGTAGTCCACCTGCCACAGGTACGGCCTGGTGGGGGTGCTCCTGCAAAGGCCTCACCCTCCTGGGGCCTCCTGCGTATGTTTTCTTGGTAGAGAGGGTTTGGCTGGAGCTCAGGGTGCGGGAGGTAGCCAAGGCCTCTGCCCCCACCCCTGTTGGAGGTGGACTGGAAGCTGAGATGACCCCTCATGTGTTAGGTGACACCCCCATGTTTATTTGGCCTGTGCAAAGGGTGTATGGCTTTGTAAAGTGAAATCTGTTGCCAATGATTGACCAACTGGGAGACTTCAGGTGGAAATCCCAACTCCCAGCTCCCACTGGGGGCATCAGAACACTTGACAACACAGGCCCACAGGCCCTTCCCACCTCTTCAGCCCTGCCCTCCTGCTTCTCCCCTCAGGCCTGTGTGGCTTTGGGTTTGCTCCCATGTGTGTCCCCTCCTTTAATCCTCACAGCGAGGAGGAGGCAGCAGACCTGTAGCGGCCCCTGAAAAGGCCCAGCTCACTCCCTTGTGCACTCACGTTGCCCACATAGACGGATCTGCGGTCCATTTCCACCTTCTCCATGGGGATCCCAGAGCAGGGGCAGCCTGTAGAGACAGCAGCCTCAGGATAGGGTGGGCCGGGGCTCTGGGCAGCCGCTAAGGGCAGGCACCTCCTGTTCATGGCTCATTCATTCCTCACTCCTGAGAGAGAGGTTGCCGCCTGTTCTAGGAGGACTTACTGTCGCCTGCCAGGCCAACACTCCTTGTGAGCTGGCCCGTTCTCAGCAGCAGCTCCCAGCCCATCCTGATTTATAGAGGGGGAAGGGGGCTCAGAGCCACATGCCCA